ACTAGTGTTTACCCAGAAAACTTGTGGAAAGGACTTGACTTCTCTGCCTTTTCCTGTTTGTTTAAACTGTTTTAAACGTTGTGACAAATTTCTGTAAACTGTTGACTGTTTTACAAGAGCTTTACACCAGGTTCCTAGAATAAGAAGAAAAAATCCCCCTCTCTGCACATCCTCAGCTAATGCACAAAATGTTGCAGCATTTCAACATTTTTAATTTCATTAAAAAATATGAAAAGGAAAAAAAATCTTAATTAAGCCAGAAAGAACTCTGGGGAGAGGGTGGGTCCTGAGTTGTCATTACTTCCAGATGTTTTTCTTTGCGCTTTTTCTCTCCAGATTTGCTGGTTTTAAAGGTAGTAAAAAGATAAAGTTTATATGGAAAAAGCGGAATAAAAGTGTTGCTCAGCTGAGGCACGATCCAAAAGCAGTTTGTTGAGGCGACACGTTCTCATCAAGTTTTTTGAAGACTCAAATTTAGAGGCCTGGCATGACTTGAAGGAATATTACATGCTTCATATGAATGACTCCAAATTTGACTCAAAAATCTGTAGATTTCACTGAGTAACAATCGTTTTTCTGTGGATTAAGCCTGATAAACTGTGTCCTGATGCATCTCAGTAATCCAAGTAAAAAAAATCAAAAAGAAAAAAAAATAAGTATACTATAAAATAACCTACTCATTCTTTGTTCTTGATTTTCCCTACCTGGATTACTGAGATGCATCAGGACAGTTTGGATTAAGATACAATCATGTTTAAAGCGGCAGAACGATATTACGTCACTTCCTACCTGGCAACCTGGATTTGGACGCTGCTGCTGCTGCTGGCCCTTTAAGAGCAGCAGGAGGAGGCTGGGGATGGGGTCCGGAGCATCTCGGCTGCGGTGTTTTTGTCTGTCAGTGATCGCCTGAGCCGAGTGAAGGCTGGAAGGATTACCGAAGGACGGGTAAGAGCTGCGGATAAGTTCCGTCTTATCTTTTTGTTGCGAATAAAAACACGTTACTTGTGTTTGTTAAATGTGTTTGGCGCGTTTCRGTCGACGCGGCTTTGACGGGACTTTTCTTTTTTAAGCGTCGGTTATTTATCCGAAGTGGCGGACCCTCTGAAACCTAAAACCACCTCTAAATAAAAAGAAATCTTTATAATAATGTTTAGTGTGAAAACTGACGGTTTTTTTTTTTTAAATCTGTTTAGCTACTGCCCTTTCTCCTGCTACAGG